TCACAATTTTGTCCGCTGGACAATGTTTTTTTAATTAATTTTTAATTTATTCGTAGTTGTTGATTTTGGATTGTTTTACATTGGATCCGACAGACGGCGCTACCATCGCAGTGTCAAATTAAAGACGTGTAGACAGGACAACGTCTGTCGGGTCCGCTAGTTCTATATATATTTGTATTTGAAGTTGAACAACACGTTTTTCTTAAAAGCTGGCAACATATAGTTTATCTAGTGTTGTGGATGCTTATTGGAGTTGATGGTATGCTCCGTTCTCTTGTAAAAGAAGCCAAAACATGATCAACTATTATTTAAGTTCGCAGTTAAAAAACATAGTTTTATCTTGGTGATATCTTTTGCTATCTTCTATTATATTTACAAGTGAACATAGTAATATATTGCGATGATAAAAAGTGATGATGATTTAAATTGTTGCACGAATATTGACAAGCTATCCTTGTAAACAATGTGGAAGAATAATAAGATAAAATAGTTTGTTCAGTCTTGCATAGCATCGACCATGTCGAGACAGCATCCATTTAGTAAAGTCATTTCGCTAAATGACTTTTGTCTTGTTACATCCTAACACGACGCCTTGTTAAGGAATTTTTCAAGAAAATTGTTCCGGGTAGTTTTACCCCGTCGCTCCAGCTTTCAGTTTTTAAATTAATTTAAAATATAACAGACGTCTGCTTTATTAGTTATAATACATCTATACATCGCATCAAAGGAGTATTAACTACAAAATAGTATCAAATATTTACTTAGTGATAATATACCGTCAATTAAATAAGACGTTCCAATTTAAATAAATTTAATAAAAATTGAATGCTATTACATTTAATTTTTTTATTCGTAATTTGGTACAAACATAAAATTACATAAGTAAATCAATTTATTTAAGTGAATTATATTTTAAAGACATATGTAATTTCTACATTATTGCTTTGTGTGGTAGTAATGAGTTTTTCATTAACTACCTCGTCGGTATCGCATCCGATTTCAATTTGGTTGTGCGGCTTTATTGATGCAATAATGGAGCGAGCTGTAATTTCAGGTATTGCCGTTTGCGTGCGCTTATTAAACAACCTGAATGAGGCTATGGCGTTAGTAATAAGTTTTACAACGCCCTTATTATATTACTAAATAATTAATTAAAACTTAAATTAAGATCACAGCGTATTTCATAACTTTCAAGTTATTAGTTTAATCAAATTGTAATCTCCATATTTTCAAGGACAATGAAAGAAATCGCATTTTTTTGAACGAGTGTTTCGGTTCTGGAAACCTTCAACAGCACCTGATATTTTTGACCATCAGTATTCTGATTTCTAATGTTCATTTTTATGATTTCTAATTTTTCTATGGTTATTTTGGAACCCTAAATTTTAATCTTCTAATTCTGTTACGAGTCCCAAGGTCTAAAAAGTTAAAGGACAAAATTCTGTGCAATCATCTAAAATCAATAGACGCAAAAATATTGAATAAGAACTTGCTTCCAATAAGTATTTTATTCCAATACCACAAAACGAAGTTCAAAATTTGCGAAATTAATACTTACACTTAGTAACATAGAATCCCCACGGAAGAAGACGCGGGCAAAAGCTAGTGTAATATATTAGTATCGATAGAATAACAATATTAATTTGATCAATGTTACATGTTACACTTTGTACATTTACAAACGTAGGTTTACAATATTCATGAGTAATAGAGGAGCTCAGATGTAGGCAGTTATTCCGTAATTACATTACACCGGTCTCGAAGACCTTTACTTTAATTGATCTGGCGCTTTATTGCGAAATATATGAGCAATACATGATGATTCCTACGTAACATTGAACGCAGAATGCTTTTAATTATTTCGTTAATTATTACTGGCTGGTTATTTTATTTGTTTTGGTTTTTAAATATTATATGAATGCAGTAATTGACGGTTGCATATTAAAAAAACTTGGTTAAATTAATTATAAATGGATTAATATTCAATTAGCCGTGATATTGGCGTAAAAGTTAGCCTTAGATATCAGTTAGATTTACGACTGTAAATAGTACACTAAGTAAATGTTTACCACAAACTCCGCTTTCCTAACCGTGGGTTTCTAAGACCAATATCGTTATCCCTGACATTTTACTTGACAAAATAAAGATAATATTTTTAAACGGGGGTTTTGGGCTCAGAAATTCTTGGTAAGATAAATAAAAACTAAAGCTTTGGTTACTTGCGCAATCAATTAAAAACAGTTCTAACAGTACGGTAATATTATCAATTTCGAACAAACGAATGGAACTAACTTTTGTTACCTTTATAATACTATAGTAAAAGTATCGTTGGTACCGTTGGTATATTAAACATTGTTCTTAGCATAAACAAGGTAATTACATTTCGACATTTTCATGTGTTTGCGACGTATTAAATTTAAGAATGTGTGTTATTTGGAACAGGGCCAATGAGCAGCGGTCACAGTTGTAGGCAGACATTCCTCAGTTCATACACTGCTTTCAAAATGTATTCCGCAACTAGCAGTTGCCCGCGACTCCGTCATAATTATAGCATAATTATATCCAACCTAAGTTCTATAAGCATGTCGAATTTCCTTGAGATCCGATCAGCCATTTTGTAAATACCTTCAATAAAACATCCATCCATTCATCCTAACATTCGCATTTATAATATTAGTAAGATAAGTAAGATGTAAATATCATTGAATTTTTATAAATATTTGTAATAACGATGTGTCGTGGTAAAAAACTCAATACCTTTTATACGTAGTTACGAAATTACTTCTTGCATGGAGAGATTTTAAAAGATGTCTGTGAGCGTAAGCGTTTGTAAATTTGCAAGCTCATCGTCTACATTAAATAAATACGCACTTGAATATTTTACTCCTTTTTTAGACGACAAAAATGCTGCATAAAATTTCATTCAGCCCTTTCTTCTAAATAGATTTTAAAATCAACTAGCAAATACTTTTAAAAATCTATAATAATTTTTTGTAAATAAAATACTTTGAAAAATATTGTGAAAAAGAATGGATACAAAATTCAATTTTTTAGTTAAATAGTGCTGTCTTTATTTGTACTTATAATTAAAAATAAATAAAATAACTCCTTATTAATAACTATTTAAAACTGGAAATCAGTCATTTCATCACACATTATTTATTATTTTGTATCTTTTCGAAATACGCAACACCCTCTGTGTTGGCATTTGGGAATCATTTTAAGAGGTTTTATCCTCGGTTGAAGACAGGAGAAAACAAAGACGTAAAAGGTAAACATTTTTCTTTTGGCGTCACTCAAAAACTTAGTTACTTTACGGATGGCAATAAATGTATGGAAATGTGATGGAGACATATCGTATTTTCGTTCCTCGCTCCTGAGTGCTCGCCTGTCGAGTTGCCGCCTACGTGGTTGGTTTTTTTTTAAAAGAAAACAATGATAATAATTTGACACACTTCACTTTACCGAAATTCAAGAGACAGTACGTTTACGTATTTGTATGTCGTTCCGCATAAGAAACGTGTCTTTTTTCAAAATTCTTTAACTTTACTAATATTATAATTGCGAATGTTTAGATGGATGGATTTTTGTTATAAGGTATCTCTGAAATTTGGCATAGATGTAGATGGCATAGTTTAGTTCTTTTTTAATTCCAGGCGTACTAAGTCACGGGCGATAGCTACTTTAAAATATATATATTTTTTAATGTGACATTTAGTTTATGAATAATAATAAAAATATAAAATGTAATAATTTAAAAAATCAACGTACGATCAATAGTGTTTCCTTTGTCATAGAAATAAGCATACCGACTTTCTATACTTTAATAAAAAAATATGTAAAAAGTAGTGGAAGGGCCGCATAAAATAAATTGCTGGCGCCTACAACTCCACGTAATGGGGGTGTCGACTTGCAAACTTTATTCTTGTTTCTTTTATAACGGAACGTTCAATCTTAACTCTTTCATGACACATGTTAAAAAGGTTCTTTATATTAAATCTTACTTATATAATATAATAAATGCAATTGTTTGGATGTATGGATGGATGGATAGTTGAATGTTTGTTAGAATATATCTGCAGAACGGTTCAACGGATCTCGATGAAATTTAGCACATCTGTAGAACTTAGTTTGGAAGAACACATAGTCGACTAATTAAGTTTTTGTTTTTAATTACGTGCAATCAGTGTCGCGGACGATAGCTAGTCTAATATAAAAACTATAGGTGTGTGATGATATGTTATATTTAAAAAAAAAGGACTGAGTGTTGGTTTGTTTGTATTAATACAGTTTACTAGCATGCTCTGATGTGAAAATTGAATATGATATATATTTAAATAGTCTTTATGTTGCGGGCTACTTTTATGTCACATAAATTAATTTTACATTAATACATTCAGTACTTTATTATAAAAACACCATTGGTACTTATAAAGGGTAAATATTTCAGCCTCCGTCAACAAGGTAAGCGTACTTTACATATCATAAAGTACCCAAGGAAATGTGTTAAAAGCACATTGTATGTTCTACTCCTTACCGCTGAGTGCTTCTTTTACGACTTCGAGTATTCGAGGCCTTTTTTTATTTAATACACTTTTTCAGAGAAAGACAATATTAGCTGAAAACTTTTGTGGCCAGTGATAACGTCAACAGATGTAGTAATGGATTTTCTTTATAATTCAACTGGTTTTAGTTTTGGTTTATTACTTTAAAATATTGTTAATTTATTTAAAATTGTTTTAAAAATACCACATTAAAAGTACTTGCATTGTTCTTTTTTATTATTTATTATATTATAAAAAAGGTTTGTTTAAGTCAGCAATAAAATAGAAATAAAAATCAGACTACGAAGATATTTTTCCTCAAAGGAGATTTCTATCCCGAGTTCCCTTGTTAGTCAAGTTTCGTTGTGTTTATCTTTTTACTAAATAACAATAATTTTGTACTTAAATACTACATATAAATGCGGATGTTTAGATGTTTATTAGAAGTATCTCTAGAGCGGTCTTACGGATCTCGTTGAAATTTGACATCGACGAAGAGCATAGTCTGGAAGAATACGTAGGTTTTTTGATTCCACGCAGAATTTGACAAGAATCCTTCATGGGCTTTCTTATATCTGTCCTAAAGCTTTAATACTATTAATGATTAAATAACTCACAGGAGGAAAATTAGAAACATTAACTACTTTTTACTTGTGTAGATCAGCCATAGTTAATGTTTATCTTTAGATATTTTATAATGAGATAATTTAATAGAGAACTTTCTCTATAAAAATCGAAATATATATTTTGCTTTATTCCGCACAAGTTTACTACGACTTATTTAACCATCGCTAAATAATGTGAACTGAAAACAGAAAAAACTTTGCAAACAGAATAATAAGGGGTCGGTTGAAGCGTAGCCGGATCTCTTGCTAGGCTTTGTTTGAAGTTCAGTCGGTCTCTGACAAAGTTATTATTAACGCGCGGATTCTCGTAAACAATCCTTGTTATTAGACCGCTAGGCGTTGGACTGAACATTATAATTGGAGCAAATTCTTAGAACCATAATCTAAATGTATTGTGTTATTCATAACGATAGACAAGTGAATTGTTCGGTCTAAGAGCTGAGTTCGAATCTTCTATTTGGCATTTGTATTCCATGTCTTATTGTATTAGGACATTATTAAAAAAGTATTTTAAAAATAAAACTAGTTAAATTCTAGAATACGTTTAAAGTGCGAGATGTTAGTTTTAGTTGTTTTGTAACGTGCTACAAATGGGGCAGATATCCAAAACATTTTTTTAAATTTCATTTTGTAACATTTATATTTTCGTTATTTCGCAACATATATTTCTTCTAAAATTAAGTGTTTTAGAAGGGCAAGTTGTTTCAAATTTGCATACCATTTTGATGTTTATTAATATAGTTCAGTAATCGCTTTAAGATATTCGAATTAATTTAAAATCTGCGAATAGATTGATATAACGTACAATACTGATTACTATTGAGGTAATACCATAAATTACGCACGAATATTCAGCTATAATTAATAGATCAAAGGTGTATACAAACACCCTTTATGCAAGCAATTACCTTTACTAACAGCATATTAATTATTCGTTATTACATTATTTGTCACTGTTTCATCTCTAGTTCATTTCACGAAAAATCATAGATTAGTTTATGTATTCGTTGGTCATACGAAAAATTTATGTTGAGCTGGCCAATGACCCGAAAGTCTTTGGCGTCGTCAAACAAAAGAGACGAAGGTCCTAAGATAACAAACGCGAGAAAACGCTTAGCTTGGCCTTGGAAGATTGCAAACAGTTGGTTATAACAGCGGGATTATCCATCCATTATGGTAGAATAATTAATAAAGATCTTAGCTTAGTAATTTAGTTACTGAAATTTTATTAATAAAATCTCTGACACATACGCACACACACATACCTACTGCAAAAATTAAAACCTAGATTACCTACCACAGTAGGCAGAGTCCTCAGAAATTGTAAAATTTTATGGACCAATAAAGATTTACTTATTTAAAACCTGTCGTTTTGCGTAGATCTCTTTCTACACGGACTGATTTGACTGTAAGCTGTCCATTTATGGCAGTCTTTGGTCTATCTTTAGCTATACATCTGCTCTAAAAACCAGAATTAAATAGGAAAAGTTTATAAATTTAAAATTGTTAAATACTCACCCTTTTAACTTAATTAAAATCAACCGTCGAAAAATTGAGTTACCACTACGTTATAAATTGCGTACACAGACAAACTCAATTATGACTTTCTGAATCATAAATTATGGACATACAACAAAAATGGCAACGCAAACGTAACGGGGAGTTGTAAAGCTCTGTCACTTCATAAAAAATTCCCCTCTGGGATGTTAAGTAAATGGCCTTAGTCAAGCTCGGATGAAACTGATGCATATCATGGAATGTTAAAAGAAATTTATAACTGTATTGTAGTTTCCATTGCCAAAACACCTGTTCAAAAATATGTTCAACGAGAAAGCGAGAGATGATAGTATGTTTTTGTTTAGGGTTTTTCAGTTGTTAATACCCATGCTAATTTTAATATCTGTAATACTCATTCGGTAGATCCATATATCGAATCGAAGTATGTTTCTAACTTAACACAAGTTAAGTTATCGATTGTGAACATTGCGCCCTATCTCATGATACGTCATTTAGATTTATTGGCATGTCTTTAGGAATTCCTTTGATTAAATATATTGGCTTGTAGTGACAGGCTGTGGCCGCATGCCGTGATATATCAAAGGATATTCGAGGCCTCGCCGTTTACATAAAAAGTATACTAATACAGAAAAATTATTATAACTACGAATTATTCAAAAAATAAGATTGCAACTATTTTATTTTGAAATAGTACATGGGATTGAAAATACGCATGAAAATTTATATAATGAATATAGTAAATACAACTCATGCTAATTGTTAGCGTAATATAATCAGTAGTGCAGGATTCCAGATATCGCGAACAAGCAGTGCACTGGAAGTTGAAAAGTTTGTTTCCGTTCATTTACATAATATTCGTAGCACGACACTACTGTTAATAAACAAGAAATATTATTATACATACTTCTTGTAATGTTTTAAGGTAGGTGAAAATATGGTATATAATAATAAGATACTTTGATAATAGCAATCCTAAATACCTTATCCATATTATTATATCACCCCTAACTAAGGGTAGGCTTCGAGCCCCTCAGTGGGGACGTATAAGTAAGCTAATAATGATTATAATATCATCATGATTATAGAAAGTGCAAGCAAATGTTAAACCTTATCCTGAATATCTCTACGTGAGATTACTCTTTACTAGATGCATTGTTTAAAATCTTACTAATATTATAAATGCGAATTTTTATATGGATGGATATTTGTTTTTTCCGATATCCAGAACGGCTGAACGAATTTCGATAAAATTTGGCATACATATAGAACACAGTCTGGAAGAACACATATACATAGAGCGGGCTAAAGCTAGTCTGAATTAAATCAGCTTTAAATCATCTCGTAGATCTATTAGTTGTGGCACCTCAGGCGTGCGTATAATTCGCTGTTATCTCCGACCTTTTTATTTCTTTTCTACTAGCACATGTAAATATACTCATATATGTAGATTTTAACCCATAAACTCTTTTATATTTAACATTATCAATCACAATATCCATGCTACTGTAGATGTTTACTCGATATATTTCACAAGCATGATACGGCCCAGATCAAAGTAATCCACTCAAACCTCTCTTTGTGATCGATACGGCCAATATTAAATTGGTTTGATTTACCCAATACCTTTGGAATATTTTAGTATCTAACAACGAGAAAACTTTATTACCTATTTTTAACTTTACTACATTTTTAAGTTTTACGAATAATTAACGATGAGTAAATTTTATTAGTAGTAAAAATTTCTAAAATATTTTTAAGTTGAGTTACATATTACACTCCCACATTGTTTAATCGTTACTAAAGAAAGCTCTTAATATATTTTTAGTAAGATAAGTCCTCACTAAGGAATTGCGTATGTATAGCCTAACCATGAATATAAAAGACCTGGCTTGATTGGTGCTTCAATCGCTTTTCTTATATGGCCCAAAAAAATAGTTTCTAATTTTTCCGAAATCTGCTGAAGTTTTATATTCGTGGTCAGGCTATAACTATTAAACTGTGAGTGCGGCAAGAGTACTTTAATTTAATGAATATCATAAATTGAACGTCGAAAGCAGATCACAGATTCGGTGTATGTTTTATTGTTAGTCGAGATGATGGTTCCCGACACTTAGCGTCAATATATCATAAAGACAGATCGTTTGTCTCCCATTGTTAGTTGTGTGGATTATCCCAGATCGATACGTAATTAGTGACTCGATGATAGCCGACATAAATCTTATCGTTCACTCACAAATCACGATACATCACTGTTATGTGCAGTTAACATCCCCTTCTTATTATATTTAATAATTTTAATCCTTTTATAGGAACTTTTTATTGATAGAAGGAGATTAGATCCTTACTATCTTATCTTACTTCTTACTTTCTTATTTATTAATATTATAAATGCGAATGTTTAGATGGTTGAATAGATGGATGGATTGATATTTGTTAAAAAGTATGCCCAGATCGGCTCAACGGATCTCGATGAAATTTGACAGTTTGATAGTCTGAAAGAACACTATTTATCGAGTCTGTATTTAAATTTCGTCAGGACAGAATCGCGGGTTATATTAATAATTTACCAGTTACATGGTTATCTGTTTTGTTAGATTCTTAATTTTTACATATAGACATAGACATCAATCGTTAATTATAAGGACATAACAATTTGCGGTTGCGACATTTCCCTAAGCCGAATTATTCCGTACCAAAGCCATTCGGGGAACTTTTAAATCCTGCCAAGTTAGATTGCGCGATAATAGGCTGACAACGATTGTCTATAACTAACTTTGGTCGTTTGACGGCGAAGTTGAAACGATGTACTGCCAAAGTAACAAATGCTTACTTTATGTAAGGTCCCATTTAAATGTATGTATATTTTTAATTCACAAATAATATTCTTTGCTGTCTTTCCAATGTCACTTACACACTAGATAGAGAGGGATGGCAATATATTTTTAATAATAATAAGATGTACTAGTGCTTTAGAGATAGAAACCCATGGTCCTATTATTTTTTGTAAAAATATAAAGGTCAATAACCTTATATCTGTGACGTCATAAACAAAATATAAAATATGAATGTGTATTGTGTTGGTGCGGTTTAACAAAGAAAAACATGCGTATTACGACATTTATACATTGATTTTGGTTTTCGACGAGGCTCGTTTTTCTTATAAAATTGACAGCTGATTCCGGCAGAAGAGTTATTGCTGTCCTCTAACAATACAAAAAATAAGCAGCGTAATAAAGAAGAAAAAGATGATTTGAAAGCAAAAAAAACACAACGCATTTTACTTTTTAAAACCTGATTCCAGTACTCCTATTTTACTTCAAAGTTGTTAATATGAAATATGAGTAGGAGTTAATTATGTACTTTGCCTGTGTGTAGAAAACGTCGCAGTTCATGAGAATGACGTGCTTTCTAATTAAAGTTAGAATTCCAATACTAAGTTCCATTTATTGCTAAACTTTGTGGACATTCCTCCGGCTTATTTACTCCCAAGTACCTGTTGTTGAACTTTCACAGTATTGTTCAATCAAATTGTTTACTTTCAAACGTTTAATTTATCTTATTACTTTTTAATTAATTGCATAGTAAAACGAATAAGTAGACAGTTCTCTATCTTTCCGAAATACTTGTAGTTTAATGGAAGAAAATAAAAACATAGAAATTTAGAAAATATCCAGTAAATAAAAAAGTAGCTCTTCTTACGAGATAATACCTTTTTTAGAATTTGTAATATTATTTTTCGTTTTACGGACAACACAAAAAATAATTCGTGGCTTACTAAAGATAATCTTTGATGAAAACCTATGTTATTTAGTTTTATTTTAAGTAATATTTCCGGACCTTCTTTAATCTACGAATATTAATTCACAATAAATAAAAACAACACGTATAAGGTTGACATAAGACGCGATCAAGTATATAATATAATACATATTCGTATATAACTTTGAACATATACATAACATATACATGTAGAGTACAAACATTTATTTCAATGTGGTGTACAAATTCTCTAGTATTAGTATTAAAGCTACAAAAAATGTAGCCCAAATTAATCGGAGCACATAACTGCGGTCAATTTGCACAAAGGCTATGTTCGGAGTTTCATCTCGCTTGCTCTAATGCATATAATTCACAATTTGTCTTGCCATGTGGAGGAGAGTGGAGCGAGCTTTTAATATCCGTGCAAAACTTATTCTATTTCTAACAATGCTGAAACTGCTTTTATCTATACTAACAGGGCTAATGTTACTAATATTATAAATGCGAATCTTTAGATGGATGGATGGATGGATGGATGTTTGTTTGAAGGCCTGATCGGCTGTACGGCTGTCGATGAAATTTGGAATATATGTAGAACATAATCTGGACGAATACATAGTCTACTAATTTTGTTTTTTTTTTAATTCCGCGCGAACGGAGTTGCGGGCGACCGCTAGACTTTGATTTAACAATGATTATAATTTATATATATTATAAATACTTTAAAGTAAATCTTGTATATAAAATTATCGTGTCACAATGTCAGTTACCAAACTCCTTCGAAATGGCTTGACCGATTTTTATGAAATTTTAATGCATATTCAGTAGATCCGAGAATCGGCTTCTATCTATTTTGTAATCTCGTGCAGACGTTGTCACGTGCGACAGCTTGTATAATACAAAATTATAATTTAAGTTCATAGAGGCTGGTTTAAAGAATAACGCAGCTTTCAATACAATACTTTAGTATAGTATTGTTAAGAAACGAATCTACATCTAGGATCCGAATCATAAGACTATCTGTTCCTTGTAAGTTTCAGAGGTTTATATAGAAAGAGTTTCGAAAAAACGAAAGGTATAACCTTTCGTTTTTTAAATGACGAGAATGATTGTAATAAAACTTATTCTCTCGCATTAGCGCGGGAAAATTAACTCGTTCGTTTTATTGTATATATATATATATATAATTATGTGGTAACATTAAATCAATAATAATTAGCAATTCGGTATCACAGTACATAAATATGCAAGCGCATGTTTATACATCATGAACACCGGTTCCGTACAATATCAGGCCCACAGAACTTTGTTTACAAGACAGCAAGGAATAGTTGCCTAATTAAATTTCACAGTTTCCAAACACTTAATTTGATTAATTTACTTCGCTCTAAAATTACCAGAGCGAAGCAAATTTTGAAGTATGCTAATATCAATTCCATTAACGTTATTCTGTTATCTAAAATTGAGTACTAATTTATTTAAAAATGCTTTCAGTCTATTGCGTTCTAATAAAGAAAATAGAAACTTGAAAATCTTCGGCGTATCACTTAACAGAAAAAAATGCATTATAAAACATATTTACATCACATCCATTTTACATTATAACATCATTAGCTATATGTCTTCACTGAGGGGATCGGAGGCTACCCTTAGTTAGGGGCGACTATGCCACAGTCAACCACTCTGGCATACGGGTGTTGTTTGACTTCACACTGTTTGGATGCGTGGTAGGTTAAGTTGAATATAATTTCGCTCATTGGTCACAGCTTCCGCTTTGGGGATATGTTAGGATAAGTATTAACTATTGTTGAACTAACGTGGACCAGCAAAAAACAAATGCAGATCCATGTGTATTGCAGATGTGTTGCCAATTTAGTCTACCTTACAGTTGCGGTTTAGGGTCTGCAGTATTATCTAGGCTTTGTTAAAAAGTTTTTAAAATTCATACCTAAAGTTCTGTTTGATTTCAGTTAAGGTTTGATTTTTGTTTTACATGATAATACATTTTATCTTAAAATTTAGGTGTATATATTTTGTATTTTTATGAATGTGGTATTGTTACATTGTTGTGCAAATTCTATTTTTGCGGCGGTACGTGCCGGTGCGCCGACTGGTCGGGGCATCGTGCGGACACATTTTGAATGTGAATTACTTTAGCTCCAATTTTTGTACCATTAGCTTTCATCCAGTTTGTGTTGTTCGACGTGTTATTGAGAAATATTTTAGTACGTAAAATTTTGTGTTACGATCATGTGAAAATCGTTCAAATAATAATCGTTATTTTGTAGGTCCATTTCGTTCGCTTATAATAATTCATTCAGTCCAGTTCATCAACGATAGTTGGAAACGCAAATTTTTGATTTTAAAAAGAGACATTTTTTATGTTTATCCCTAGGATAAAATGTTACAGAGTAATCGGGAGTTTAGTGAATAAATATTGTTTTAAAATGTATCGTTAAGTTCATGAAATGTTTGCGGATTACACGACAATTTATGTCAAAAGATAGCAAGCATAAAGGACAAATCGCAAGTCCAATTTACCCTTTTGTCTGAACGCAGGGATCTCGCAGGACCAAGCTATCCCGTCCGCGCGCTTTGTTGAAATATGTAAGAGGTGTCAAGTGGCCAACTCTGAGACTTCTGCAATTTGAAAGATGAAATAATTTTCATCTTACAAATTGTACAAGAATTTTCTAACAAAGTAGATTTTTCTCATGGGTTTTATCTGGCCAGCGTTAAATGTACTTTTTCTTTGTAAAATATCAATGATTGCGAAGTTTTATTATGACAGCCTTGCTTTTTTATTAAAAATATTAAGCAAATGTTATTAATTAATAGAGTACGGCACATCCGCACGCTACGGTCTACCACGATAGAATGGTAATGTTTACATTCTATTTTTACTTACTCAAAGTGCTTCTTACATATATTTTTAATCAATAAAGACGTCAGTACATGTTAACAAATTTCTATTGCAGTAGAACCATTACATCAAAATCTACGATCGCAATGCAAGAGCACATATGCTTGGCGAGTCGCCAGTCGCATCAAGATTTTATTAACCTGGACGAGAATCCATCCGTTCTACGATCAATTAACATAACATGAAATGGGCTGATGGATTCTCTAAATCAATATATCAAGTGCTATTCAATGCTAATCAGCTATTACTGACTTAATCATACCTTGATTTTAATTGATATAATAAATTATATTATTTTCCAGTTAATCATCTCTTTTGTTGCATAAAGGTTGTATGCAACAATATAGGTTATTTCACATGTCTACGGATAATAGTAATTTAACACCTGTGCACGCTTAAGGGGTGACTATGTCATAGTCGAACACGCTGACCCAGTGTGGATGGTTGACTTCACACATATCTTTGAAATTCTTCGCAGATATGTGCATTTTGCAATACGATGTATAGTTAGGTTAAGCTCCGAGCCCCTTCGTGTGGTGGGATGGCAGTGTCCATCGCCCCCCTCTCATCACGGAGACGAAAGGTGCACCCCGAAGTTCCGGTTGCGCCTTACCTTAAGGTGGAGGGACTCCTCGTCCCCCAATAAAGGGAGTCTGTCTTGGCGGACGGTGCTGGCTGGGTTGCGGAAGTTCCGTGACTCATCACAAGGCGACGTGAAAGGATATCGTTAGGTTTTAGTGGGTATTCTGGTAAAAGTTTTCTCGTGGTTGGTCGCATTTTGACGTCTTTTTAATATTAGTATTCTAAATCATCGTACATCAAGATTACGATGTTATCTAAATGATGACAATAATCAAAATATACACCTAATCTAATTCACAATCTGCCCTCCTACAATAAAACACTAATGAGCGCTTCCTCAATTCGTATTGTGAATATCCAAATCAAAACTTTGCTGTTTTTAACAAGACTGAATGTTTCATAACGAAGCGCTTCTTGTCTTTTGCGAATATTTCTTTGAGGAAATATGAAAGGGACGTACGACTTCAGCTTGAAATTTTCTCATCGCCTGAAGGATGAAAGCTTCTATTCGTGTCTGAATAAGTCTTTATGTTTTCATACTAGACATGTCTCAAAATTGATTCATGGTAAAACCTACCATAATTAACCACATAATCGCAAGACACAGGGTTCAAACAATTCATTCACCTTCCTCTGATTTTTTACGATATGATGGTCCTACACTATAAACAGTCTACTATAATATAATATCCTTTTCGTTTACTGTAAAAAAATATCTAAAATATAAATAAAATAATTACTACAATAGTTTGACATTAAGTGTACCAATGGCTTAAGTGTACTTAAATTGTTTCTGACTCTACTACTCTTGCTAACAGGAAAGTAAAATCAGTTTGATTCGCTGCTAGGTTTATCAGAGCAGTGATTTGATAGCGTGCTGGCTGATGTTTGTGACCGCAACAGTCAGTAACAAACGGTAACTTTTATCAAAGCGGCGCAATTGTAAAATTCGAAAAGTTTTAGCAATCGCTTTGCCCCTAGGGACCGCTGTATCCCGTTTATCTTGCACAAGTTGAATTGCAATGAGAGTTGTTTATTTTTTACTTTTATTTCGTCATCTAGAAAAATACTTGCGGACCGACTAAATAAAATATCTGTTCCTTACTTTTAGATATCTCATAACATGGTGTTTAAAATAATACTTATTTAAACGTATTTAACACTTAAACCGTCTAATTGATCTTTTTATATTTTTGAATTGTATAACAAAATCGTGAACAATACCGAGTACATAAACAAATATAAATGATTTCATATATATATTTTTTTTTATTTCATTTATATTATTCATTTATACTTAGTAGTAAACGTAGTAGTAGCTAAAAGAATACGTAGTAGTAGCTTCTGTGACCCAAAGGGAATCTTGGTTTTCGACATGTACTCGTAAATATATAAATTCTAGTGTTGTAACTAAATAAGTATACCAAAATCTTTAAATTATAATTTTAAATAACACTATTCTGTTGTAAAGACAGACAAATATATACAAGCCTATCTCCTAGATATGAAAGGTTATTTCCAATTTAACAACAACGTTCACACAAAACATAAATGAAGCGACGGGCAAAACTTCTCTTAGTTTTGAACTTTGAAGTTGGGTCGGGATGGCCACTTTGTTTTAACAAGGGATCAAAGGTTCGTATGTTTTGCTATACGATGCTTTTCATGTTAAACTTATCATATTAATATTACTCAAATGTAGAACACGACCATATGTGGCTGATAAACCAAGGAAAATGTGTTGTTTCAGGTTACTATGAATTATAATTTACATAACCTAGTAGTCTTGCTTATTTTAACCTATAACATGCAGACTACGGATTTTTACTTACTGACTAGTCGTACTTTAAAATTGGTCAGGCCATTGGATAATAAACGTGAATTTAATTAAAAAAAACAATAAAAATAGGACGTAATATTTACAACGATAGAACTATTTGGTTTTCGTTCATATCTTGTAGAACTGGGGATGTAGCACGAATTATTGCGTGAATATATTCGTAAATTCATCGACAACATTTCACAAAATGCTATGAGTTTTGTCATTATACTTTACGTCCAATAGTACACCGCCCACTGTACAAATCTCATACAAATGTTGTCGATCACGTTACGAAAACGTTCACACAAATCGTGCTAGTCCTGGTTAAAGAAACATTATAGTCTTTATAGGCTTGTTCCGTAAGTACTAATTTTATTTTTTGGAACTACAGTTTTATATATAATAGCAAAAATGCTCTATTAAATAATTCAATGGTATCTAATAACTACGGGAATTTTGTTATCCTGAATTATATCTAATTCTTCCTAATAATTTTATACAAGCTGGTCACTTTAAGCTTAACGTATATAACAATATAAAGCCTGTAATAAGTCCTCATTACGTAAAAGAAAATAAATTTTCGTTATAAATAACAATCCACCTTTGCTATGTTTACCCAACACACCTCTGGGAACTTGACACCTCATCTAAAATTATCTAACGTTATCCTGTAACTCTTTATACACCTTCACATGGAATATTACAATGTAATAAAAGTTTATTACAACGAAAGAAAACGTGGAGAATACTTAATAATGCTTGTATAATGTTAAAAAAAGTTAATGGCAACAATAATGTATGCTAAATTTAGAAGATTCGAGAACTTTCTTCTGTTCCATTCGATTTTGAAAACCATGCGGGTTTGGTGGGTTAAACACCATATTACATAGTCTTCTTCTTTTATCTTTTAATGATCTTTCCCCAATACCAAAAAACTTTTATTACGTAACTGACACATTCGCGAGGAATTATTAAATAACACAGTCAGTGATAAGTATAGTC